GATTTTAACTTCATAAAACAATTTAAGCATCAAATCCAAGTCAAAACAGCAGCTAAATCCCGAAATACCCTCTGCCTGACGCACTGACTCGCCGAGTCAGACCTGGACTCGCCGAGTAGGGCCAACTCGCCGAGTCCAGATACTGACTCGCCGAGTTGAGTCGGGCAGAGGCAAAAAACTCGATTTTCAGTAAATAATTCAACATAGCATCACATACAACAGAAACCAATCAAGGCTCTGATACCACTGATGGGTTTTAGGCATAAGAACAATCCTATGTGCTCATACAAACCCTAATGCTTGGATCTAGGTTTCTCTATTGTACATGCTTTGAATCCAAGACTAATAAACTTAGATCTAACATATTATAAACTGAATTAGGGTTTATAGAATTACCTTTGATTGTTATATAGCAATAACAATCAATTCCTTGCTTGGATTGGCTTCAAAAGCTTAGTGCCTCAAGTGTGCACCTCTAATGGAGTCACAAACACCATATGCAACTTGGATGAAGAGGAGAAGAAGAGAGGCTGCCCAAAAACGACTAGAAACCCTAGAGAATCAGTTGTCCACGTTTTTGGGGCCTAAGGGGTCCTTTATATACTTGTGTGGGCTGCTAGGGTTTCAGTCAAAACCCTAATGGACAGCTTAAACTCTAAGCAGCCCATGGAACCTTCTGGACAAGGCTATGGACGAAAATATGATGGGCTTCCATCATAATTTCGTTCACCCCTTATTCCTTTAGCATTCCTTAGCCCAATAACTCAATTATCCAATAATTGCAGTCCAGTCCCCTAAATTTAATTAATCTCTTTTAGCCACAAAATTAATACTTAATTAATTCTTGACTAATATTAATTAAACAATATGATTTCTCCTTTAATATATTATTCTCATAATATATTAATAAATCATATTTAAACTTTTCTCTCCTTAATTCATCCTACATATTGCTATGGTGAAGGCAACCCAAAAGGACCATGCTCATAATCGGGTCAAGTACATACCAAAATAGTTATGGACTTAGACACTAATCCAACAATTGTATCTCCTACTAATATTATGTTTCTTCTAACGCATACCACCCTATGTACTATCGACTCTATGTTTAAGTAATTACACTACTCATAGGGTCGTCATACTGTCGAATTATATATTTTTATGTACTGTATGCCATGCTAGATTAGGACTAAGGATCTAGGAGGATGCCTTATGTGCCAGTTATGTGTATGAGCTTTATAAGTTACATGCTAGTACAGATTCTTGAGTAGGGGATAGAACATTATGATTGGATTATGTAGTTAGATTTTCCCTTTTTTCTGAATGCTATTTGCTTTGTGCTTTGTGGGACTTTGAGTGATGGGAATTATCCATTAAGTGAATACGCCAAGTCACATGTGATTAGGGTTAAATAATCTCAAAGTGTTGGATTTGGCCCTATTGCGCAACTCTTGTCTGAGTCTAACCATTGTAGGGACGAGTCCTTTACTCGAAGGATTATTTTAGCCTCATCACATGTGATGGTATTCAGGTAGTGGCTAATTGGCATCATGAAGATACCTTTAGTAGCTGAGGATTGGGTGCGGGTTGAAGGTTACCCCAGGGCAAGCCTAGGATGAGAGTAGTGATGGGAGCAATAGTAGTAGTGAAAGGGACTTGGTGGAGTCGAGGTAATTCTCGAGTAAAGTACGGATAAATGTGGAAGGTAGTATGGGCCCGTACTACTGAGAGCAGAGGATCCGTACTCGATTCTAGAAGGGATACGATAAGACCGGAGAACTTGTAATATGTGTGTGATCCCTCAATTGAGATGAGTATTCTGATAATGGTTATGTTATGTGCAGAATGGTGACGTTGCGTGACAGACCAGTAGGCGGTTTAGGCATCGGCGAGGGATCAGGCTCGGTTTCAGGAGTCGAGAAGCTCGGGGAGCAGATGAGAGAGTTTATATTAGCTGAGATTACGTGCAATATTCTTGATCAGACTCCTGTGATCTTTGTATTGGAAATAGTCAACTACAACTCATAATTCGTAAACACCCTTGAATTGGGAAGGGGGTTCACGGTCTAAATGGACCTTAAACTAAGGTTTATGGTCTAATGTAGGTCCACCAAGGTGGTTTACGGCCTAAGGGGGTCCCTTATGGTATTTACTACCTAAAAGTGGCCTAAAATGGTGTTCATGGTCAATATTAGGTGGCTTAGGGTGGTTCACTGTCAAGATGCTCCTTAGGGAGTTGTTCACGGCCAACCTTATCCCACAAGAAGTAGTTCACGATCAAGGGTTGGTGTTTTAGGGTAGTTCACGGTCAAAGTGCTTCCTAGGGAAGTGTTCATGGTCTTAGTAGATTGGAAACTCTAACATGTTAGTTTTATTGTTTATGTGTTTAATACTTTGATGTAACTTATATTTCCTATTATTTGCATTGAGTTAGGGGACTTTAGGGTAGTATAATTCTCAAAGAAAAATTACATTACCAAAGTATAATAATAGTATAGCTATAACTATTACATATACGGGGCTCCTCTGGCTTGGTTCTTGGGCTTGAAATTTCTAGTTGTGACACAAGAGTAAAGGCAACTCAAAAGGAATTTGCTACTATCAATTCAAGTATATACCAATTATAGTTATGAGATTAGACACTTAATCGAATAGTTACCACCCATGGCCTTATCACACCCTAATCATCACAACTCCATGCATCCTGAGTCGAATCCTGCATCCAACAACATCTCGACAGATGTTCGGGACATACTTCAAATTTCGAAGCCCTCAACTAGGACTCAACCACAAGCATGTTATGCACAAAAAAGAGGACGTTGATCAACGGTTGGAAATTTACTGAACTCCCACTTACACAACCTTAATCTAAACAACCACTTGGGTCGTCTCTCTCTCCTTAGGAAGGATGTGAAACTTGCCATAGTTCCACACCCTTCCTAACTTTTGGAAATCCGGATTGATCCTCCCCCACTTGGATGAGACAAAGCTCTCTCTCACCTCTTAATTATGATGGATCTCCGACCCGTCTACCACAAATAGCATGAACCGCCTATAACTTGTGCTAATCAATACCAACGTTCCATTGCTAGCCAAAATCAATGATTGCCCAACTCCTGAAACCTTGAAAAATGCTCTTGAAATCTTAGCAAATCTGATAATCAAAATCACCTCCCATGATACTATACCAATTCCCTGAGTTCTTATGTTGGTGACTAAAAACCATAACCCTTGCCCTGAACTGACGAATCTTCATCCTAGTTTTCATTCTCAAAGTACCACTAAACACTAGTACGCTACGTGTACCCCTGTGTACGCCCCGCGTACCTAGCTAAACCTTAAAACCACCAAACTTTCGAAGGCCATAACTTCTTTGTTATAAGTCCATTTCCAACGAACTTTATATCCACGGAAAGGTGAAGAGAAGCCCTACACTTCTATCAACTCACCTCCACATAAGAACTTTCCGAACAAAAACCCAAAATTCATAAAGGATCGAGATATCAAATTACGATTATGCCCTTGGGCTCCAAAACACAAACGAACACCCGGATCACTTAGACTATAATACCCACATCCAAAAAGGGCCAAATCATTTCTTCCCTAATACCCAAAGCCTTATGATGACTGATGACCGGGCTACGACCCCGAACAATGAAACGATTTGAAACCGAGTGTTACAGTCATGACTCGAAGGTAACTATGAAGTGGATCATAGAAACAAACTGAGTTCTTCGAGCTAGCGGTTGTCAGGATGATCAAAGGGTTACTCATGCCTCTCAAGTATTAAGGGGTCAAGCTCTCATTTGGTGGGAGAGAGTATGTCATACATTGGGTGATGATGTTGAAGAGACTGTGTCTTGGATTGAATATGTTCAACGGATAAAGGCTAAGTATTGTGATCCTCGTAACATTGAGAAAATGTTTGATGAGTTCTTTGACTTGAAGAAAGGAGATTTAATTGTGGAAGAGTATGTAAAAGAGTTCTTAGATAAAATGTTGTTTATTGGTGATGTTCTTCCAACTATAACATGTCGTATTAGCCGTTTTATACATTACGAAGTGTTTTTATACATTTTTAAAGGTATAAATATTTTTATATGAATAAATAGCATTTTATACAATTTTTTATATGTATTAATCATGTTTTTATATATATATATTTAAACATATAAAAACGTTTTTAATACAAATAAATATGTATATATATGTATAAAATCGTTATACATATATATAAATATGTTTTGAAAATGTGTAAATACATAAAAATAAGCGTACAAATATATGTATACACAGACTTTTAAAATGAGTAAATACGTATACCTATGTTTATAATAATAATAATAATAATAATAATAATAAACCTGCATATTAGATAATAAGTATGCTTTTTCAATTCAAACAAAACCTCTTGGTCTAGTGGTAAAGCTCTTGCCTATGTGGGGGAGGAGACCTGAGTTCGAAAGCCCTCATACTTAAGTTTTTGTTGTTGTTTTTTTTCCTTGAAAGTCAGTACGTTTCTCCTTTCACGTGTTAGGTCCGACTCTAGCTTTACCAATCAGGTAAGTGGTGACCGGCTATCCCTATAAAATTTGGCTAGGGGGTAAGATCGAATCTATTTTCCTTTTTTCCTTGAAAGTCAACATGTTTCTCCTTCCACGTGTCAGATTCGACTCTAGCTTCGCCGATCAGACAATTGGTGACCGGCTATCCATATAAAATCTTGCTAGGGGGTAAAATCTAACCTATTTTCCGTATCTTTGGGTATTAACGAACAAAAAAAATAGATTTTGAACATAACCCAATACTTTGTATAAAATTGGAGGGTTTTATAGCAATAACCCAATTTTAATTAGAATCAAAATATAGGGGGTGGTAAAGTGTATATATATATATATATATATATAATATATATATATATATATATATATATATATATATATATATATATATATATATATATATATATATATATATATATAGTCTATTTTGGTGAAACAAAGAGACGTTACCATTTTTTGAAATCATTACAACACGCGCAAATTGGTACACCACCTCGAAGCTATCAGAATCAGTTATTCCGTTGCAAATCTTTCCCAAACAAACTAACAGTAACAGACCTTTGTTCCGGACCTCCGAATGGCGGAGACGCCGACGACGGCGTCGGTGATCAACACCGAGATCAGCACTGCGCCGTTACTCACTCAGCAGAGCACACACGAATCACTGTTTGGAGCTAGAACCTTAACGACACTCTCCATTTTCTTCGGTCTTTTATCTGGGCGTCGTGGAGACTCGTTGAAAGTGCGTGAGAGTGCAGCGCAGCAGTTGGAGAACCGGCGAGATGATTGGGGCTACTCGTTGCCGGTTGTTGCTATAGACACGACGTGGAACCTTGCCGTCGTGGTGGTTTCGATAGCTATGCTGTTTTGGACTGCGCGGGAACAACCGAATATGCCGGTTAGGGCTTGGATCTGCGTTTACGCGCTGCAATGTGTGATGCATGTAGTCCTATTGTGGTTGGAGTATAGAAGGAGGAATCTGAGGGCAGCGACGGCTAGCAGTGATCCGAGCAATAGAGATCGAATCAGCTTTGGGAATTCCAGCGCTTTTGATGTAACGAGGTCAGTTTTTAATCCTGAATTCCACTTTTAGTTTGAAATCAGTTAGTTTATCTTGCTTTCCAGAGTATACGTAACTAATGTCTAAGAACACCGTTCGCGTATAATTATCTAAGATATCAAGATTGACTGTTTGAGCAAAGAACCATTCTATGAGAACCAAAGTATAAGATGAAAACGATAAACGTCTTAGAGGAAATATTCAGTTGAAAATTCTATCAGAAGACGTCCAAAGCATCAAATCACATCCATGGATGATGTTCTATATACCAATTAGGAAATTTCGTACTCTATAGTAGGGTAGAGAATTCTCTAAGTTGGAAGCTGTTTCTAAATTACCATGGAAAACAATTAGCGTGGCTTATTAACTGCTGCATTACATTTTGGAAATTGCAGTGCTGAGAAAATATGGGAAACTTTTAATAAGATTTTCCAATATCTTTGGTGGCTGGTTGCCTTCTGTTGGCTGATTCCCAATTTTGAAATGCATAGTGCTCCACATCTGTTCTGGTCTGTCTTGAACCAATATAATCCTGTAAGTTTTAACAGAACCCTTTGGCTGTTTTTAACTTTCTTTCTTTCTCTACCTCTGTTATGAACAATGGCAGGTTGACTCTGACATTCATGGTCATTGACGTGTTCTTGGCTGCCATTGGTTTTCTTCTTAAGGGAGTGATAACAGGGCTTGCTGTTTCTTTTTGCTTACCTTGCGTCTTGTCCTTTCTTGATTTCATGGGTTGCCAGGTGAAATTTGTTTCTTAAATTTCCATTTTTGGTTTTGTTTTCAAATAATTTTGACAACAACGATGTTAATTATATTACTACACAGGGAGGTGCATCAGAAGCAGAGATCAGTGTCCTTCCTAAATACAGATTTGTAGTGCACACTGATAATGGGGGTAGAATGGTCCCTTTTGAAACAAATGATCCGGATTTTTCTCGTGTACATGTTCTTCCAATCGAGGAAGAGGTAAGTCTATTCCCAACCATAGAAATGGAATCTGAGATTCCATTCCATCATGTGTTTGGACTTGGTTGCCAAATGAACGGAATTCAATCCTTCAAATTCCATATTTGATGGATTTCATCATTCCTAGGAAAGATGGAAGGGATTCATTCGTCTACATTCTTCTTCAACTTTTATTAAAAGACCAAACTACCCTTACTAAATAAAAATAAGAAATTCATGGTTGTTTGTTTTGTCAATTTTAAATTGTAGGATTGCTGTATATGTCTGTATCCATATGAAGATGGAACAAAGCTTCATTTGCTTCCATGCAACCATCACTTCCATGTGAAATGCATCTTGAAATGGCTCAAGATAACTCCCACGTGTCCACTCTGCAACCACACCATCTGCCAACGTGTACAACACTGAAAGCCCTCACAATTTCATATCAATAAGTGTACAGGAAAAATCATGTATGGAAATATGATAGCTTTTCTTTTACTAACAAAATAATAATGTACACCATTGTTTTGTTTGCTATAAATCTTTTGTAAAAGTCTTGGAACGGATACCTTGTTCTATGAGAGGTTATATGGATCAAATGAGAAAACTTTACTTCTTATAAAATTAGTTTAAAGATTTGAAGTAGCAAATAAAGTACTGGACGTTTGTGATTAGAATCTATAGGTGCTAAGCTAAGTAATTTGGATTTTTTTGGATCACTGTACAAACCGGGTCGGATCCTAACTTGAAGTTTTTTCACAGGCTAAAATCCCCGAAATGTAGAACATATCAACCGGTTTTTGGTCTTAAAGTTTTCTAAAAGGGGGATGTTTTTCATAAAGGGTCAAAATATAGTGGACTTTAATGATAACAATCCAAGAATATAAGTTACGAATAAAGTTGGTTCACATAGAAAAAGAGAGTATTAAACCCATATATATCTTATATGGAAATTACCAATCTACACATTGATTTGTGGAGTTATAAGCAACCTATATCATAGACGATTCATCACCTAAAATCATGGGATTTGACTCCCTAATTTCCTGCTGTAGAATATGTATATATATAGGTATCTATAATAGCTCTGTTACGTGTCCTTATTTTAAATACAGAACCCATACAACCCATACAACCTTTGCTCTGCAATACTCTATCATTTTTAGAGAGCATATATGCTTCTGATTTACGAAGTATTTTCAAAATTTTAATAAACTTGGGGACGTCTTCTAACTTCATGGTTTCAACTCTTCTATTATTGCAAGTTTGTAACATGTTGTAATATATATATATATAGGCCTTTCGATTTACAAAAATAAGTTAGGAACCAAACGCATAAATTACCCTAAACCGTAGGGACTATTCGTGTAATTTACTCTATGTAACAGGAATTTCCAATCTATAACAATATAGAGGGATTTCCAATCTATAACATAAAGTGAGCACATTATTAGGGATTTCCAATCTATAACATAAAGTGAGCACATTATTTTTGTCATCACCTATCATAACCACTTTATTTTGAAGGATAAAAGGTATCATATAGCATAACTAAAACATGAATTTAAGAAATTAACTATTAACTCAGATGTGGATTCTCATTTGGAATGTCGGAGTATAGCCTCATCCTCATGTCTTTGTGTAGGTTATATGTAATTATTGTGTGTCTCTTTGTATTCTTTATGGGGGTTATATGTAATTATCTCCACTATATAATGAGTATAACTCCATGTTTTTTGATATGGAGACTCATTTACACATGGTATCAAGAGCCAACCCCTCCCTTCTTCTCCCTCATTAAACTTTTGATTCCTCCTCTCCTCTTCTCTTCTTTTCGATTTTCTTATTCCCCTCTCATCGGAATTCCATCACCACCGTCGCCTCATCATGTCAACATCCAACCCCAATGATACCACCCTTCCCATGAACACCATCCTTCACCTCATCACAATCCGACTCTCCTACACTAATTACTTTCTATGGGTGAATCAAATGACCCTACTCCTCTCCTTTCAACAACTTCTTTGCCATGTTGACGACTCTTCTAATGCCCCGCCATCATCTATTACGGTTGATAATAAGACCACCGTGAACCTAGAGTTTACGAATTGGCAAGCCACGGACCAACACACCCTCATTTTGCTTCCAACATCTCTCACCGAAGAGGCATTTTTTGAGGTGGTGGGTCTCTCCACCGCCCGTGCTGTTTGGACGGCTCTCGAGTCCGTCTACGGAAACTCTTCTACGGAGCGGGTTCAGAATCTTCGTGATCAACTCCATCTCCTTTCTAAAGGTACCGCTTCCGTTTCAGATTATGGTCATCGTTTTAAGGCTATTTGTTATAAACTAGAGGCCATTGGTCATGCGGTTGATGAATCGAACAAGTGTCATTGGTTTTTTATGTGGTCTTGGTGGCTCTTTTGAATCATTTTCTGTGGCGATTCGTGCGTCGCGTCATGCTCATCTTTTCCGTGATTTGTTGCCCAAGCCGAGGGGCATGAAATATTTTTTACCTCGCTTCATGGTTCGTCGCCGCCTCCCGTTGCTTTCACTGTCGAGACTCCTCCCGGGTACACCTTATTGGCTGTTGGGCGAGGTCGTAGGGCTCCTCGTGGTGGCGGCGCTCGCGGTAGTCGTAGACGTGGGCGTCATTCCCCTCATTGCCAACTATGTCGTACTAATAACCATTATGCAAATCTGTGCTTGCAACTGTCCTCGTTTGCCTCTTCGGCCCCCGTAAATGACACCGACTTGGTGAAAGTCTTTCTAGCCAAATGTAATGTCAATAATACTCTCGGCCCAGATTGGTATGTTGATTCTGGTGCCTCAAATCATATAGTGTATTCCTCGGGATCGGTTTATCAACCTGCACCGTTCAATGGTGATGGGTGGGTTCAATTTGGTAATGGTAATACTCTTCCTATTTTATCTATTGGATATTCTTCCCTTGCTAATGTACGTTGGTTATGGGATGTGTTAGTGGTTCCCCGTCTCTCGAAAAATTTACTCTCCATTAGCCGGTTATCTTATGATAATGATGTGAATGTTCTTTTCTCCAAATATTATTGTGAAATTCAGGACCAAGAAACGAAGTGGGCTGTAGCTCGTGGACGATGTGATCATGAGCTCTACATTCTTTCTAATAAACCGGTGGCGCATGCTTTCTTTGCTCGGAATGGATCGAAGGCCTCTTTTGAGTTATGACATTCTTGTTTGGGACATGTTTCATTTGACACAATTTCTTTGTTAAATAAACTTGGACTTGTTTTGGTGTCTTCTATTTTACCTAAACCGGTTGTATGTTCGTGCCAACTAGCAAAATCACATCGCTTACCCTTTTATAATAATGATAAACGTGCAGCTTGTGTTTTAGATTTGGTGCATTGTGACCTTTGGGGCCCATCTCCGATTACTTCAGTTGATTCTTATCACTATTATGTGACGTTTGTTGATGATTTTTCCCAGTTCACATGGTTTTATCCACTTAAGTCCAAATTGGACTTTTATATGGTGTTTGAGATGTTTATTACATTTGTTGAAATGCAAAAATGTTAAAACCTTTCATAGTGATGGGGGTACCGAATTTTTGAACAAAAATGTTAAACTTCTTTTGCAAAAACATGGGAATTTTCACCAAATATCATGCCCGTATACCCCACAACAAAATGGGCGGGTTGAACGGAAGCATCATCATATTGTGGAAATCGGGCTCGCTATGATGTTTCACGGGCACGTTTATTATTAATCGGTTACTGTTGGATTAGATGTCTAAGCCTATAACTATTATTGGTGTGTACTCGACCCGAGAGTAGCATGGTCCATTTGGGTTGCACTTCACCAGAACAAGTTATATGGATAGTCTTTTGAGAATAGTATGTTTATGATTTATATTAATATATTATAAGTTATAATATATTAATATGGAATCATATTATTTAATTAGTATTGATCAAGAATTAATTTGGTGATCAAAAGGAACTAATTAAATATGGACTCTTATATTTTTATAGAGTGGGCTAATGCTTATTTAGAATGGGCTTGGCTTGCATGGAAAGTCCATGGAGCTTTAACCCATAAATCTTATGGAAATGAAAGGTCATGGATACTAGGTTTACATGAATGTAACCCTAATCCACCATACTATATAAAGGGGTCATTGGCACATGAAATGGCACTAGTGTGTGAGAAAACAAGAGTGGGCAATTTCTAGTGTGCTTACTATTCTCTCAAGTTTTTCCAAGGTGTTTTGGTGATTTGTGATTCCCCTTGAGGCTTCCACACTATTGGGGCTAAGCTCTTAAAGTTCAAGACTTCAAGATCAATCAAAAGGGTATGTTATCTAACTAGGCTTTTGTAGTATAGTTGCTTCATATTATGCTAGTTAGGATTAAAACCTTGGAATATTGAATACTTTCATGTATAATAGAGAAAACATAGATCCAAGGTTTATAGGGTTGCATGTACACCATAGGAGTGTTAGAATGTTCAAAACCCATCAGTTGTATCAGAGCATATGCTTGTTTTCAATTATACTTGATGCTATTTGCAAGAAAAATCGTTTTGTTGGAATCTGCCAGTTCACCACGAAGTGGTAAAACTTACCACGAGGTGGTGACTGTTCAATGAAAAAAAATTGTTTTTTGGCCTGTTTTGGATTAGAATCATTACCATAAAGTGTTTTTGTTCATAAAACTTGATTTGGATGTTATGGTAATGTTTATTCTCGTCCAAATAAAAGATAATTGTCAATAGATTCATGTTTTGTATTAGTTTAATGGTTAGGCTAATTACATGAAAATTTGTTTGATTTAAATTGTCTTGTTCATATGAGTTTAATCTAGATCATAGTTTTGCTAGACATGTTTGTATGCCTATTAGATTATCTAAATGGCCTTTAATTGATTCCATAACTTGTCCTCAAGTTATAGAAAACCAAAAGTTTTTCTTTAAAAGAATTATTAATGAGTCTTAGGTTATGAACTTGAAGAGTCTCTTCCAATAAATTGTTTTATGAGCTCTATAACTTGTTCTCAAGTTATGGATGTTCAAGAGTCTTGCCATTAAAAGTCATATTAAACTCATATGTTATAGAAATGAAAAGTTTTTAAATAGTTTCAAAACTTTCCCTTAAGTTTTGGAATTTGTAAAGTCTCACATATACTTTAATTCCAAACCCTAGAGTTTTAAAAGTTAAAATTCAACTATTATACTTTATAGTATTATAAGTTAATAATATATATGTATAATGTGACATCCCCAAATTCACGGCCAGAAAAGAACAGTTTAATTTATGCTTTTAACATAATTTAGAGTAATCCTTTGATTTAAAAGAGTTGTAGAATTTGTTCCCAAAACACAATACAATAAAATAAGTTTTATCAAAACATTTCTTAAAGAAATGTATTTTCATTATGAAAAAACTCGGGATGTCATGTTCTGATACAGACCAAAAGCATAAACAGTACGACATAGACCTTACAACAGTTATTTACAACTACTGGTCTATAAACAAAATATCTTCACAAGTTGTCCAACTTATGCTCTCGCGCCACTACCTGTAATACAAAGAAACTGAGTGGGTCAGGCTTGTGAGTCTGGTGAGC